CCGAGGATTACTCCAAGGACACTCACCCCACACTGTCTCCTCCCCGGACCCCTGCTTTCCAGCCTCTTCCATGGGCTTTCATCCATCTGAAACAATTTGCTGAGCTCTGGACCCAGCTAGGAAGCGCTCTCCATAAAATAACAAGAAATAACATGGCACAGCAATCTCGATGCTAACAAGTTCAAGATAGCACAATTGGTCCCAGCCTAAGACCTCCTACCCCTAGTCCCCTTCAGCTGTCCCCCACTGGTCACCCCAACCCTCAGTAACTTTCCTTGCCCTCATCACCACCACATGTTTGCTAACACATTCTCTCCAACACTGAGACCTCTGATTTCTTCATTAAAAGGTGACTCTAATATACTCCTTTCCCTATGTATATTTTTCTACTGATCTAGTGTGAACACCCTTATCTCTTGTCAAGACCGTTAAATAATCTTCCAATTGGGCTTCTTGTTTCTACCATTGCCCCCTTTATTTGATTCTCCATATAGCAGTCCAAACAATCTTTACAAATTGCAAGCTTAAGTGTATTCCTCCTCAAATTAAAACTCTTTAATCATTGGTTTACTATAGAACGACCAATACTGATGCTCAGCTAAAATGACCTCAGCTCTAAAACGCATTATTTCATGTTTCACTAAGGAAATAAAAGCTCTGCAATTGAATTATAACATAATGCTGTCTTTGAATTAAATGTTTATTCTATAAATATGTAGAGTTCTTTTATATATTCAGATATATATTTTAATATATTTTCTTCTTGTTCATAAGTAAAATTAAATATTTGCAAGATATACTTCAAAATAGCCTTAAAGCACCCTCAGAGTCTGAGTTTTTTTATTCGTTATGGGGCCGCACACCACAGATGCTCATGTTTTTCATCAAATATTGCGTGTTGTGCCATCAAGAGCTTTGTTATGTGGGGATGGCCAAACACCACTGAACAGAAGCAAACACGGCGCTATTGTCTGTGGGATTTCCTTCCAAGCTGCTAACACTTTCTGCAAATTTTGCTGTTGGCACGTGGTAGGTAATCATTCAGCACAGCTTTTTGAGCTTGTCTATTCTTCGCTCCTATAAATTAGGGTCATTGCTTTGCATGAAAATAGGAAATTTCACTCATTCCTTCAGCTATAAAATAAAAGGTCATGGGTTCAATTCCCAGCCAGGGCACATGCCTAGGGTGCAGGTTTCCAACCCAGTAGGGGCCCATACAAGAGGCAGCTGATCAATGTTTCTCTCCCTGTTTTTCTCCCTCCCTTCCCTTCTCTCTAGAATCAATAACAAAACAAAATCTAAAAAACGAATTTGCTTCTCTAATATCAAACTCCACATCACTGTTCCACTTCAATCATTTCTGACATTCACAGTAGCTTTTTCAATGCCAATAATGTAATCTGAAAAATAATGACAACTATACTCAACACTATAACATCATAATATGTGAAAGTAAAAAAAGCACAGATGCCACAGCTAAATGCAAGCCTGTGCAGACAGTAACAATGACAGACGTGTGAAGATGTCCAAATGTGGGCCTCAGAGTACAGTGCCATACTGAACTTTTTCATCCAACTTGTAGGATTTACTTCGTCAGTGCTCATCCATGTGGTATTGAAAGAGACATGTTGAAGTATAAATTTGATCTTCTCTATGCATCGTATCCTTTTCTATATCAAATAACTGCACCTAATCCATTTCCTTAAAGGCTACTTGTCCTGATATTCATAACTTGACTACTGCCGTTCTTTCCAGTGTGTCTGAGACATCTTGGCCTATCAGCTCACATTCGTATTTTGGGTCACTTGGTTTGAGAAATGTTCATTGAAATCCACATTAGGCAAGATACTGTTTTTCATTTCCAATCTAAAGGATTTTGTCCATTAATAGGAAAGCTATATTTAGTTTGATTCTTAACTTTGCAATATATAATCTCACCTCTCTTAGCTGATTGTGATTCTTGATGCATATTATGCCATGATTTATCCATTATTTTGTTAAATTTCTTGTCATTGCTAAATGTATTGTGCATATAATGCAATGAATTTACATAGATGTATATTTATAGGTTAATAGTAAATTGAATAAATATCTAATATCCACTACCCAGCTTAAGAAACAAACTATCATGAATAACTTTAAAGTTCCCTTCTGACCTAGCTCATTACATTCTTTCCCTGCCCTGGATTTAATGCTATTCTATATTTTGCTTTAATTCCTTTGTTTTTTTCTCTGTAGCTTTATTATATGCATGTATCTCTAGGCAGCACAATGATCAGTTTGCCTATTGCTTCTCATTATGCAAATGCAACTGACACTTGTTATTTTTGGTCAGCGTTGTTTTATAATGGTAGCTGTGATTAATTTATTTCTCCTAATATATGGTATTCCACACAAATTTGTACAACTTCCAGAAAACACCAGGAACGTTATGTGCTGTGTAACATGCGCTGGCTCTGTGAATGGTGCCCGAGAGCGGAACGAGGCAATGACCCTGGTCCCACTGCAGGAACGCAGCATGATTTATTCATTTTAATAATTCAGTGTTTTCCCTATTTTTTTACATTTTTTATTGCTATGATGAACAATGTTGCTAGGAGCATTTTTTTTGCATGCCTCTTGAACATAAATTTTTTCTAAGGTTTCTAACCAGGAGTGGAATATCCAGTCATAGTGTTTACAAATGCTTAACATGTGCTTTTCTAACTGGTTTTACTAATTTCAGCTCCCCCCAGCCTTGTATAAGAGTTGCTATTGATCTTTGCCAACACTGGTATTTAAAGATGTTTTAAAATCCGGAGACTATAAAACATAATTTCTGATTTTTAAAGAGCAAATTCAAATTTATTAGAGGCCTATGAGTAAATTGTAAAACAACCTCTTTTTTTCTGCCTTGACATAGCGGCTCAAACATCATTAAGAAAATGATTTGGTTGCCTGCAAAGAGGGCACAAAGCAGGAGTTTGACTCTCGTCCCAAAACTCAGCTCTAGAGAAATTACAGGCAGGAGAGAAACAAGGATTCTGAGAACTAATCAATCAAACAAATAATAACAACAAATTAAGAGTCACCAAGCAACAAGACAGCCAAGCCAACCACGGGAGGCAGACTGGCACCGGGACGTGTGTGTTCAGGCAGTGCTTGCCTGCCATCTGGCAAAGGAGACACCTGCAGGCTCCGGAGAGAAGGTAGGCGGGACGGGATGTTTCAGGGTTCTGCCTTGGCCTTGTTCCTTTGGGACGAAACCCTAACTCCACAGCCTGTGCCATCTGTATTAGCATCCTTGAGGTTATATTAGTGCATTTAAACAGCCTGGCAGGGGTGAGAAGTTGAAGTAAACAGGTGTGAATTGAGTACCCTTGGAGCATTACTGCTTCGACTCTGACCATGGGGTTTTCCTGATGGACTGACCAAAAATGTGGGTCACCAGACTGGATGAGACTGTCTCTCTGATTACACACACACACAGAGGTCTGATTTTGAAGATTTGCTCAACCTTTATTGGCAGACCACATCTGATAACCCAAGGTCAACCTGAACCCACAAGCCAAAATCTAGATATTTGAAGAAGAAAAACACTATAAAAAATTGCCCAACCTAAACATTTGAAGCAGAACTCTTTCGTAGACAAACCATTTAAATAAGAAAATAAAAAAAGCTAATAGGGATAAAAATAAGCAATTTGAAATATATAAGAAATTGTGATGGTTAAAATAAGAAGAAAATAGATGAGGACCATGATAGAAAGTTTCATAAGCCAAAGACATCTAAGATCAAACTGCAAATATTGACAGCCCTTCTTATTGCAGAAATAAATAACTAAGACACACTACAAAGCCTACTAATAAAACACAGTGCAGCTTGGTCAAAGACAGACAAATAGATGGAATTGCATTAACAGCATAGAGAGAACAATATGTATGGGAACAGAAGCTACTATAAAAATGTTACTGCAGATCTAAAGGATAAGAGCACATAGTTGTGAGTAGGTTGTAATTAAGGATAGAAATAAGATACAGAAGGACATCATTCACTTGTGTGGAAATGTTTACAAACTTTGTGGCGGGTGGAGAGGTGGAGGTAGAGGAGGTATAGGGGGATAAATGATACTTGAACAAATGCAATTAAAAAAGTAAATGGAAAAAGGAAATGCTTATACAGCTCTGTTTGCATACACAGAACAGGGAAGGATATGAATTGTTGTTAAAGTTAAGGACTGCCAGTAGCAGAACTGTGTGTGGCAAATTTTCCTTTTATACTTTTCTACAATTTCCAAATTGCTGCCATAACACAAATTCTTTTTAATCAGAAAAAATGAAAGGGGGGTCTGTTTTTAAGCGAGAGGGGTACTTGAACCACATGACCACATGTGATTGACTAGAGAGCCACTGCTTCTCAGAAATGTTGGGTCGGGGTTCCTTCTCAGTTGTGTTTGTTTCAAAGAGAAGCAAAGGGAGAGGAAAGGACTGGGTGTGTTTCAGAGATTTGGCTCCAGGCTCAGTCCACAAGCTCAGCGCTGAGCCTGTGAACTCGTAAGGGACTGTGTGAGATGTGGACATGCAGGGCTGTCTGTGTGATGCTGACTGGAGAGACTCTATCGCAGTTGTCAGTGAGACCTGGCTGGCTGCACTGTTCACTCTGACGCACCAGCCCCTGGCTCTGTGGGCTGGGCACCTGGACACTGGCATCTCTGGAAGAGCCTGGCAGGGGTGGAGGGCACCTTAATGACCTTTGAGTCACTGCAGGATGGAAGTACACAGAGAGGGCTGATTCAAGGAACATGAATCCTTCACATGCTCCAAAAGATGCCCACAATGGGCACAGACTTGGAGGAGAGATGGCCATCCTACGATGGGCAGGTGCGGGCGGAGTCTGTGAGAGGGCGGAGCTCCCCAAACATTCCAGAACAAGCATAGCCTTCTCCTCCCCAAACTCCACATATCTAAAGCCTCAGTTATTCTCAGTGGCTCTGTAATGTTGGGTCAAGACATCCACAGATATCCAAGGTATACACACTTTATTTTGGCATTCAGACCACTACACCAATTTAGTCATGTGGAATCTGAATTGAGGTGAGGTTGACTGAAAAGAAAGAAGCGCCTGTAACAATGGTCCCTCTTTATGGCGAAGAGAACCTGCCGCAGAACAAGATGCTGTTGGTTTTGTGGTGCCTGATGAAGAACAGGAACGGGTGATCTGCACAAAATTTTGGCTCCGTCCTGGCGCACCGGGAATTCCTGACCACGGCAGTGGCCGCGGCCGCCTCTGTGCCTTCTTCATTGACTTCTCCAAAGCACTTGTGTGCAACCTTGGACACCGGTACGTTCTTCTTAGTTGACATTCCAGAAAAGTCTGCCTTGGCTTCCTCAAAAGCATCAGTCATTCCTAAACTTCGAAGAACAGGCTCCAAGTCATAGCTCTGCTCCAGTTTAAATCGGGGAAGGAAAACTTGAATTTTACCCAAAGTCATTGTCTTTGGATCCATCCAGGCTGTGAGCTTCTCAGGTGTAAGTGCTTTTTCCACCTAAAATAACAAAGAGTCAAATCCTAAAATAGAGGTGACAGCAACCTGGTGTGCTCCTCCTCCCCTGCCCCCATGACAAGCAACTAGATGGTAAGGGACAGTCTACAGAAATTGTCTCTCTTGTAAACAGACCAAGATCTTCCCTCAAATCCTCATCCTTTTCCTGTTTTATAGAAACAAAAGTAAAATAGCTAGAAAATACCTGAGACAAAGAGAGGGCTTTTTTTAAAACCATGTGTACCACATTCATTTCAAATGTCTTTTAGTTTGGAAAACTGTCATGACCAATTGATTATATTCCTGCAATACACATCACTGTGAGTTAGAGAGATTATTGAAAAGGTGAGACAGAGCAAGGCCCAGAACTCTAGTCTGTGAAAGAGAAAATCAGGGCTTGTCTAAAGGGCAAGGAAGGCCTGGCTGCTGAGGAAAAAAGAGCAGAAAGGGGCCTGCTGCCCCTGGCACCCTGGTTGCCCTCTGCCTGCCCTGGGGAGACCTTCCAAACCTCCAAGACTCTTTCTATTTATCCACAGGAAAAAATAAAAGAAAAAGAAGGAGATTGCATCTTCTTTTCCTTCTCCTTACCACCTGGAGCCCAGGTGAGATCCCCTCCCCACTGAGAGCCGTTCAGATGTCACCTCTATCCCTACACTCCCCTGATTTTCTTCTTAAGTAGCCATGACAGAGCTCATCCTTGACTTATGCCCATAGCTTCCTGATTCCACAGAGAAACCAGGTAAATCAGGAACCTCACATCCGGCGCGTTGGCATGCTGGCACTGGCTTGTACCCCTGGTGAGAGTCAATCATCAAACTCTTGGTAACCTAGACTTAGCCATGTGGGAGCACTGACAGCAAGAAAACAGCGCACAAGACATAAGAGGCCTTCTTCCACCCTCAGAGAGCCAGACGACCAGCACACTGTTGGTCCTACACCTCCCACCTTATAAACCTACCATCTTCCTGAACTCCATCCCTTTTCTGTCTTGGAAAGAGGGCTCTCTCCTCCTGTCTAAGGTAAACCCCTCTCCTGTATTTTAGATTCTTGCTACTCAAAGTGTGGTCCATGACCAACAGCACCTGCATCACCTGGAATCTTGTTAGCAATGCAAAACTCTCAGGCTATGGCCCCCAGAATCAAAATCGGCATCGGAGCAAGATCCCCAGGAGACCCGAATGCATACGAATGTTGGAGAAAGGCTGCCCGGATCAATCCTTATCCTTTTCCACTACTTTCATTCATTAGTTATTAGGCCCTCAACTAGTCCCTAATATGAAGAACAAAGCTCATATTCTTGGAACTCTTGTCTTCTTAGCTTCATCAACATTTGTCCTTACCTGCAATTCCATTCCTAGATATATACTCAATAGAAATGAATACACGTCTCCACCTAAGACAAGCAATGGTGTCCATCCAGCACTCTTTGTAACAACCCTATATTGACACCTCCTCAAACGCTATCTGTTGAATGGACTTGAAGAGAGGCGCTAAGGCTGGGTCCACAGACACTCAGCTCCACTGCCAAGGGCTCACCACTGAGAGGTCGGTGTCTTCATCAGGCAGCAGAATGAGCATGCTCAGCTCCTCCCCTGCGTAGGGCAGCTCCAGGACCTGGCTGCGCACCTCCGACACATAGCCCACTTTAAATTCAGCCTGCTTAAACATCATCTGCACTGTCTTCTTCTCCTAATGAAAACAAGAAATTAAAATCGGATTACTGAAAAAAGAGCACTAGTCCCTAAAAGTATGTCTGTTTCACAGAACCCCTAGGTACATATAAGAGGATTATTACTTCTGTGCATTCATGCTGATAGATATAAAATCCTCATTATTACACATTAGTATTGAGTATAACATGTTCATGCCCCTGCAGATCAATTATAACCAGGTGAGAGAAGAAATTGGCAAATATAGACAGACATAAAACTCTCTCATTATTTTTGGAAGAAGTGGTGCTTTTTCCCTTTTGATAAAATGCATAAAGAAGCACTCCCAGAGACCTTATAATTAAAAATGATTTTTCTGAGTTGAGAGGAGAATTAACTAGTATTCAGGCCTTTGGGCTGGATGATCAGGGTAGAGAAAATGTACAGGCCAGAGGGAGTTAGACCTTTATTCTCAAAAGTTGCTCAATTATATAATTGGTTTTACAGCTTTGGTTTTCTTGGAGAAGGAAACTGAACAAGATATGTAGCCTCTACCATTTTTAAAGCTTGCATCAAATATATTGCAGACTTTTAAGTCTTTGTGCAATAGGCTATTACCAAGTTGACAAAGGTCGAATTCCAAGTTAATAGCCACTGACCCCAGCTATTGCTATATGCAACAGGGAATGGAGAAAAGTACTTCTGGTGTAAGGCTTTAATGTCTGGATATCTAATGTGCGGCATGATGGCTATGATTAGTAATACTGCACCGAGTACTGGAAATTTGTTAAGAGTAGATTTCAGGGACTCTCATCACATACACCATAAGACAGCTATGTGGGGAGATATATTAGTTAGCTTTATTCATTTCACTGTGTATAGCAAATCATCATCTTGCATACCTTGAATATATACAATTTGTATTTTTTAAAGTAAAAAAAAGTTCAAAATAAATAGTCAACATTTACATCTCTTAACACCCCTTTCCTTGTGCTCAGAGTTGTCTAAGCACAGTCAATAGTCACCATTGTCACTAAGGCAATAGTGACAGTCAATAGTCACCATTGTCACTGACGTTTTAGAAGGAATCTGAGTAAATGCAGTTGGTGACGGTGCTGCCGGTGGAAATGGGGGACCTGCAGTGTCACGGGAAAGCACTTTGGGAGACAAGTGAGGGAGGATGTGATTGGTGATAAGATTTATTTGGGTGGGACATCTGCCTTTCAACTCCGAGCCTCGCTGGGGGAAACCGGAAAGGTAATTGAACTAGAGAGAGGGCATGGAACCCCAGTATGTCTGGGAAAGGGATTGCTTGGGAGGAGGGCCCCACTCAGGCTGAAAAAGAATCAGAGATTTGGGTTAGATGGTTTACAAGGCACCTTGTTCTTTACCAAAAAAACAAGAAAACATATGGAGGATTGATAGGAGCATCATGGCAGTTGCGGCGAAAGCCTGCTGGTCCTCTACATCCCTCAGGGAGTATGAATTCCTTTGGCCCTAGTGAAGTCTTGCCATCACATTTAAACTTTTCCACACATGTGCCGTTTGAAATTCTTTTCTCTCAACCCTGCAGAAGAGCTTGTTTTCACCAGCAACAACAGTACAGCCATAATTACAAGGCTTAGAAGAAACTTTCTTTCAACACAATAATATGACCAGAGATAGAAGGTCAATTGGATCAAGGATGAAAAAAAAGGGAACTAGCAACAGAAAAATTATTTTCATTTTTCTCCTCTCTTTTCCAATAACATATATGGGGGGGCATGAAACACATTCAGGCATGGATTAACAATCAAGGTAGTGTAAAATAAATTACTGATTTTCTCCATTCACAGCCTCCCCCAGCATGGTGACTTTAAGAAGTAATGGTGCACCTGAAATCTCTGTTCTTACCTGGTTGACTTTGAAGGGCATCCCCCTTGTATACCTCCGGTCGAACTGCTTCTTCCACTTGCCTTTGAAGTAGATCGCGTTCACAAGAATCAGCTTGGTCTGTGGGCTGACTGTGCCAACACCCAGAATCTCTGGAATCTTACCTGTAAAGAACACCAGAGAAGTTTGTGGCTATTTGGTGGGGAGAATAATCATTCCTTTACAAAAATATCTCCTCGACCTGGGACACTGAGGCTTTGTTGACAGCCAGGCTGGAATCCTGTGTTTTTGTCCACCTGATGGATCAGGGCAATGGTGTTTCAGGCTGTGCACCCACACAGGGTATTATTTATCCTGAAGCAACAACCCTGAGACAGGCAGGTCAACTAGTGTTTTGCCCTAGATTTATAGATGTAGAAATTCAAGTTCAGGGCATTTGCCTGATTTTTTTTTTGCTAAGGTCATCTAGGTGGCAAGTAACTAAGCTGAGAAAATAATCCAAAAGCCTTGATTTTACCTGTAAGCCTCTCAACCTGAGCATCATACCATTTTTCAACCACACCATTATTGACGTATTAGGCCAGATAATTCTTTGTTGTGGGGACTGGCTTATGCATTGTCAGATGGCTCCCCAGCAGCATTTTCCCCAATTGTGACAACCAAAAATGTCTCCCACCATTGCCAAGTGTCTCCTGGAAGCTGCTGCTTCAGGAAACACTTGAGGGTGTCTGGAGGGTTGTTGGAAATTGTTGCTCTATGCCAACCTTCAAACTGCACCTAGGTGAGGAGAGCCTGCCAAAGAATGGGAAGTATAGACCGGCCATGGGAGAAGGTAGGCTTCCTGAACGCAGTGAATGGGGCAAAGAGATCAGAGGGATGCAATGAAGGGGTCGAACTTGAGTTGTCCAATGCAAGTGGGAACAAGGTCACTCCCAGAATACCCCCAGCTCTAGTATTCTGTAAAAACATGTGGATGGTCAGCCTGATGGAAGGAAAACTGTGAGCAGCTGAGGACAGGAAGAATCAGGTGTGGGAAGGAGCGATGTGGCCAAGATGCTGGTTAACCCATTGACTTAGGACAGCTCCACCTGCTGGAGAGTGGGAGACCACCGCACAGGTCACAGGAAACCCTGCAAGGCTCTTCCCTCCGGAGGGTCATCATGTTACTGGCTTGCAATATCATCGGAACCATTGCTGCTGCCTGAGACACAGCAGGTACGCCTTAAAGATTCAGCGCATGGAATAATGAGTGCTGGGTGGGCACGGGGAGAAAGAGTGACTACCCCCATCATACTGGGAGTCTCTAAATTACAGGTTAGCTATTTAGAGTGCTTAAACGCACATCCTTTTTTCTCCGAACTCGGGCGGGGATGGGCAGACCTCTTTCTGCTGAGATGGAACATGGACCAGCCAGGGCACAGTGCAGACTCTAGGGCAAAGTCAGAGAGTGTCACGATCCGAAAGCAAATGTAGCCACAATCTTGTGACAAAGGAGAGGGCCGAGGAGGAAAGCAGAGCTGTTCCATTCCCACAGGGAGGTAATATGAGAGGTGGCTCTCTCGCAGCTGCCACCCAAATCAAATGTCACTCTGTCCTCAGGGCAGAGCAAGGGTCACCGCCCCAGACAGAAGATCACCAGGGCTCCCAAGAGGAAGCATTTTTCTGGGATTTTCTAGAACAGTCCAATAGGGAGGGCATCTGAGATCCTTATGGGCAGTTTTTATTATTAGTTGATCACTATTTATTCGAAGCCACCCCTTTGGGATCTGGTAAAGCCCGAGAAAGATCATGAAATTGCATGGCTGTTCTGAAAACACAGCAAGCACACACAACCAGGTGACAGGGTCACAGTGTCAGCACCATGGAGGCCACACTTCCAGCCACTTCCTGCCCTGTCCTTCACAACTCGCCAAGTCTACTAAAATGAAACCTCCCACCTTCTGTCTTTTCCGTCACCCAGTCGTTGATGCATTTCCTGCATTCCTCCGTGTCGTCAGCGAAGGCCAGCTCCTCCAGCTCCGCCTGATAGAACTTCTGGCAGGACTCCTTAAAGGCCTGCAACAAGAGGTGCTGAGTTTGGCCCCGCTGCAAAGCTGCCTGTGCTGAGGGAACATCCGCTCTTTCTGACAGTGTTTCTAGCAGAACTGCTTGCACAGATCACACTGCCCTGTAAGACTCATTCACACAATTAACAAAATGCACAGGCCCCCAACACTGGGCCAGAGCCTGGCCTCCATGCTGGACACCGGGGTGAAGTCCTGACATGAGACCTGGGGTGGCTCCCAGGCAGAGAAGAGAGATGACGTAAGCACACAGTGAGTTACAGGATGTTTCGAGAACATGGATGGGGACAGGCATGCGCCAAAGGGCCCATGGTAAATGTCCATCAAACACTTAGACTCCCTCTGGACTTTGTGTTTGATTTTCTTGTTTGATTTCCTAATTTCTGCATCACCAGCACCAGCCCCATTCTCTAACTGGGAGGCTCTATGGTAGAACTGGATTATCAAGAAATCCTACAGGTCCTGCAGGAGTGCAATGCGACTGGCCTGGATGGGTGTGTGTGAGAGAGACAGAGAGAGAGAATATAAGGGACTGGGGATGAGCTATGAAATGTAGGGTGGGGTTAAATCAAGAATGATTTGTACCCAATATACTCAATCCCAAAGAAGACTCACCTCACAACAACTTGGTCTCAGATAAAGTGTGCCTGGCAATTGGTGCCTATCCTCCACCCATCTCCTGTTCTCAAGTATTTTAGCTTCTACAGAAGAAAGATGTACAGAGAAGAGCCGAACAACTAAGAAAAGTAGAAAGTGGTTCCCTGTGTCCTCAACATTCCCCAGTTACACTATTCAAAGATCAGGCTGATGTTCAAAACAAACATCAATTAACCAGGAGACTCCTGGAATCACTCATGCTTATCCTGGAAGACCTAGCCAGCTGAAAGATCCAGAATTATCTCCAATGACTTTACACCCAGAACAGGCGACCTCCACAGAGTAGCACCCACTAGCAGGCCGGACAGGAGGTACCTGAGTCTTACAGAAGCAGCCTGGGAACCGCCAGCCAAGAAGATGGGAGGCTCACCCTGATGGTTCCATTCATCTCAGGAGAGCATCACTCTACATGTTACGGAGCATCATTTTGTGGTCCTCACTTACTGAATCACAGCAGGTTCTTTCAATGGACTAGGGGACTCTGGGATTATATGCTGCAACCAATACAAACTACTCAGATCAAGGGCAAGAAGCAGGTTTGGGTGCCGGAGGATGGACATGTTGAGATTGAGGTTCAGGCGGAATGTACCAGTAACAGTTTGAAAAGGACATAATGCAGAAGCCATCGTAAAAGTCAAAGTTATAATTACAGAGGTAACATTCTGTACACTTTTAAGGCAGTCAAGTTATAATTTATCTCTGTTCCCTTATAGTTTCTATCGTATTTTCAATTTCTTTCATCGATGTGAGAGTTACTACTTACCGGAAGGAAATTACACGTCTTCTCTCCAAAGAGCCTGTTGGCGGTTCTGAGCAAGTACTGAGTATCAGATCTGTTCACTTCCGTGAGAAGTGACTGGAAACCCTGGTGGACATCTTCCACTTTGTTCAGACAAAGCACCTGGGCAGAGGAAACACTGACTTTAACACTGTCATTTTACTCCTCCAAAAAATCTCTGCGCTGAACATCACAGAAGATCCTATCCCAAAAGGAGTTGGCTTTAACGGGCTAGCAGAGTTCCTCAACATTGGGACTCTCGACATCGGGGCCAGTGACATTCTTATGGGGGCTGTCCTGTGCGTTGCAGGATATTTTGCAGCATTTCTGGCCTCCACCCACTAGATGTCAGCAGTGCCTCTCAGTGATGGCAGCCAAAACTGCCATTGCCAAATGCTCTCAAGAGGCAAAAGCCACTGGTATAAATTACTGCCCTTCCAGATGGACACAGGCCAGGAAGGCAGGATGTGAAAACTCAGGAGGGAGACAGAACAGAACAAACCGGTGACCAGAACGGATCTAACCTGACCTGGGAATTACAAAAATGAGCAGAAATAAACATGACAATGTCTCATCGGCAATTTTACAGAAGTTCTCAAGCCCAGACTGTGTTTTACATGTCAGACCAGAGTGGGAATTCAGGCTGTTCCTGTATCACCCACCAACCCAGTCCAAAGCCACAGGCCATCCGTGAGCTGGAAGGAGCAGCCACAGGGGGTTCAACTGTAGACAGTGGATGTGCTTCTTGACACTCCTGGCAATGCAGCGAGCCCATGAGATTTTCTGGGATGCTTTCACAAGACAGTCGAAGACTCTGAGACACAAAGAGGTGAAGGACTCCTTCCCTAAAGGATCATCCACTACTTTGTGCGGAGCTGAGGGCACACATAACCCATGTCAGGTCAGTCGGATTACATTTTCCCTCTAAAGGACGCCCGAAGATATAGTCCACATTTTTGTGGCATCCTCCATCCACTTATGCACAATTACACACTAGAAACCGCATGTTTGTCCAAAAGTTCATTTACATAGCTATATTTCAGTTGGAAGTATGTTAGCAAAAAGTACAACTATACCAAAGTTTATATCCTCAGCCTTTTCATGAGACAGGATTATAATTATCTTACTTATTAAAGGTACAAGTTTGCTATAACACATTGATGCCCTTATCTAGAGAAAATAAAGTAATGATTTCTCCTATAAACACTAAAAGGAGATTCCCCGTCTTATACAACTTACCTGTTCGACTGTGTCTGCCCTGTGTCCATCACCGTGCCCCACCCCCACCTACCAGCCACACAGGTCTTCATCATCTGGGGGAAAGACAGGAAAAGACCAGCTCCGCGCAAGCAGAGAAAGGAAGCTGCCCTTCCTTTGTGACAGCACACGTACCTGGGACATCTGGGTGGCGGTGTCTCCTTCGGCCCCCATGAAGAGCATGGCCAGGGCAGAGGAGATGCTCAGGGGAGAGAAGAACACATTCCGTGAGTGGTCCTCTTCACCCAGCATTTTTAATAAGGTGATGGCAAAGGTGCCATTTGCTTCCCCAAGGTCATCCATCAGAGAAGGTCTGTGTCAAAGACAAAACACAGAAGCACATCAGCTGGACCTTCTGTTTCATCACCTAGTCCCCCGGATGCTGGGTGTGGTCAGCAGAATAACCACACCCCCAAAGACGTCCACATCTAATTCCCCAACCTGTGACTACATTCCCTCATGGGGCGCCCGGGACTTTGCTGCTGGGATTGAATTGGGGATCATGACATGGGGAGATGCTCCTGGATGATCCAGGCGGGCTCATGTAATCACAGGGTCTTTATAAGAGGAAGGCAGGAAGGTCAAAATCACAGGAGAAAATGTAGTGTTGGAAGCAAAGACCAAATGATGCGGGGCCACAAACCCAGGAACACAAGCAAAAGGCAAGGAGACTGTCCTGGAACCTCCAGAGGAAAAAAAAAAAAAAGGAACTCTGTGGATCTACTTTGGACTTCTGACCTGCAGAACTGCCCGATAACAAATTGTTGTTTTCAGGCTCCCGATTTGTGGTAACATGTTGAAGCATCGACAGGTAACTAATACGCTGGTTCCTTCACAATGCAGCCAATCCTAGCACTCACGACTGGTCCCACCACAGCCACAGGACCTCTGCAGGGGCAAGGACGCCCTCCTAGACCTGCTGGCTCTCCCCTCAGTGCGAGGACAGCCAACACGTCTCTGTGCCATGCACAGTTCTCTGCAATTTACATATCTCGTCTCATTTATTCCCCACAGCAAGAGGCAAGGTCAGCACAGGGGCCACCGAATGTCACAGTCCAGGAGGCTAAGATTTACTGGCTTGTCCCTGGTCCCACGGGCCGTCCTCCAGGAAGGCAGGGCTGGAACCCACAGCTGAGTCCAGAGCTGAAAGTCTTCACCGTCACACAAAACCCCTTGTTGGTGCTATTTTGCCCTCAGTGTGGTGTCCCTGCACAATTTATTAACCACGGTCAAGTTCTATGAACTATACGCAGTTCTCTGTAAATAAAAATGCCATTTCTGTCAGCTGGATGGATTTCAATGGATTGGGAAGGGTTTGTCTGGGATGGTCTGACTTAACACAGGGGCCACTGGGAAGACACCAAAGTTGCTATGAATCAGGGGCCTCCAAAAGTGTGCACCATTTTTCACTGGAGTTGCCGAAACTGGGCTGAGAAGGGAGCCCACCAGCAGGTCTGCAAAATATGACCCAAATCCCAGTCATCGGGTGGATCCTTCGAATCTGAGGCACCAATTTTGGATCCAGCCTGACCAAGCCGACCTTGACCTCCCCCAGCTTGACTACGAGTCAGCAACCTGTTCTCCCTGCCTCTGCCTGAGTCTGCCTTTCCTTAGAGCAGGGCTGTCAAACTCACATTCACCAGGGGCCACATCAGCCTCGCGGTTGCCTTCAAAGGGCCAAGAGTAACTTTAGGACTATATACATGTGACTTCTCCTTAACAGTTAAGCAAGAGCTTGGCTCTACCACCAGGTAGAAACAAGGCGCCAGGCCGGATAAAACCAGGTGGAGGGCCGGATTCAGCCCATGGGCCTTGCGTTTGCCGCCTGTGCCCTAGAGTATTTGCTCCAGACAACTTGTCACTGTAAACTCTTTCTCTGGTCCTTGCCAATGGTAATATTTTGAAAAGCCTCTCTCCTTTTTTACAACCCAGAACACTCTTTCTCAAGTCCCTAGGCGTTCTCCCTTTAAACATGTCATTTTCAAGGAAGATAGTGCCTTTTCTCCCAGGCCCGGGGGTGGAGCAGGTGGTAGAAGCTTCAAAAGTTATTGCAGCTTATTAATTATTATAATTTTAGCAAATCATTTTCAAATAAATTTGAATTTTATCCTAACTGAGCATAAGAGCTTGAACTCAGAGTGAGGCAGGCATGAGCTTAGGTTGGTGACTGTGAGCGTGTGTATGCACCTGTCTGTCTGTGTGTAGGTATGTGTGAGTATGTGCATCTGTGTATATATGGTCTGTTTCTGTGTGTGTGTATTTGTGTCTTGTGTATTACTGTCCTGCCCAAACAGGCAAAGGGATGAACTTAATGCAGTATCACATCAAGTTCAACTTCACATATTAACTGCTCTTAATTAGAAATCTCCATGTTCGGTTCCTTCCATTTTCCTCCCCCTTCATCTCATTTCCTCACCTCCGCTCCTTGTCAACACCCAGGTCCTGGGTCATCGTGTGTGAGCAGAGTCTGCCCACAGCAGTGACACCCTGGCACACACGCACACACAAGGGCCCCGGAGGATGAGGCCAGCTCACACCCTGGAGCTACCGGGGCTGGAACCGGGTAGCAGAATGACTTTTTCCTGAAGTTCCTCTGGGTGCCCCGGCTCATTTGTCCATTAAAGCTGTGAGAGGGTTGGAACTTGAAACAAAACGGACCTTGCCCCATGAATCTAAAAAGGAATTAATTTCAATATGAAACAAAATAACACCTTTGGGGGCCAGAGCCACGATGTAACTGCGTCATAAAAAACACAGCAATGTGGAAAAGTCAGATTTCCAGCCAATTAAAGGAACTGGCATGAAACTAGTTTTCCTGTTACAGGTGAACAGACAAGGTCAGGACAGTTACTACTGCCCTCGGGTCCCACAGTAAAAGTGGCCGAGTCATCGACAAAAGCACGCCTTCTGCATCTCCGTGTGTGGCATCTTCCTTTTTTTGGAAGCCTTCTGCCAACTCCCTGCTCCACTCCCCTCCCCCCACACACATCCCAAAGTGAATTTGTTCAACGAGCACTTATGTGGAACTTCCCCCATATCGCTTTGGGGAAGGAAATGAACAATGAAGGTCGTACTTCCTGACTGGGATCTCCCTCCCGCGGGGAGACACGCGGATGTAAATGCAGATGTAAATGCCTGGTTTCAAGCCAGCCACGCACTCCGCAGCAGGAGGGTCTGCAAGGAGCTAAGGAAAACCACAAAAGCGGAAGCGGAAGCAGTCCACTTTGGGAGCCTCGGCAGCAGTTTCTGTGTGGTGGTGAACGAGGGAGCAAGACTTAGTTAAGGCTGTGGCTGCGGGATCCGCAGGTGCAGAGGACTTCGAAGAGGGGTGTGTCTGTGTGGGGCCAGGGAAGGTCCGTGCAGTGTCTGCCGAGAGACAGGGTGTGGTGAGACAGGATGGGCCCCTGATGCCAGGTTTGTACGTCCGAACTTGAGCTACGGGCTGGAAAGTTGTGCATGGCTTTTAAGCAAATGGTTTACAGAAATGCATGGGGGTTTTAGAGATACATGGCAAAATTACAGTGTCAGTGCTCCCAGAAATGGCATCTTCAGCTGTCAGTCAGGAATCACCTGATCAGCCCTAGTTAAGTTGCCTGCCTGACAGGCCCTTGCTGTCCCCAAAGGAACGTCAGTAACTTTGCAATAACTTCCTTGTCCTGCTCTCTTCCGCCTACAAAAGCCTTTTGTTCACTACAGCATCCCAGAGGTCCTTTCTATTGGCTAGATTTGATGCTGCTGGGTTCAAACTGACTTCTTGCTCGAATAAACTCCTGAATTTCTAAATATGCCTCAGTTTATCTTCTAATAGACTGCTCGCTCAGGATGCTGACGAGGGCCAGGAACCCCAGGAAGTTTATGTGAGGAGCCAGCCCGGAATGGGGAAGGTGTGCATTCCACGCAAGATGTGGAACACACCACACCAAGGGCGGGGAACAAACACAGCCCACAGCATCCTGATTCCAGGAGAGTCTAGGCAAACGGCATGGCATTCATTACTCAGAGGGCAGGGGGGAGGCAGAAGACAAGAAAGTTATTCCCATTTCTGGGAAAGCTGAAACTGAAATTAAGCCCAATAATTGCAGGTAGGATGAGGAAAAAGGAAGGGACTGCCACCCAGTCATCAGGGACGTCCTGGGAGAGCAGGGAGGGTGTCTGTGTCGGGCTCAGGGAGGCCGGAAGCCTGGAGGTAGTGAATGCCGGAGGCAGTTTGGGTCTGAAACAGCCTCAACAAGAAGGAGCAGGGGCTGCAGCTCCAGGGTACAGGCGGGGGACAGACATTTGTGGGCAAGGTGGCATCTCCCAGCACCCTCAGAACTCGCCCCAGGCTCCCCGGAAATTCCAGGCTGCAATTAGAGCGCCACTGTCTCACCTGCACCCTGTGGCTCCTCCCACTCACCTCCCCAATGTCTCCGCCCTGCCTTCTCGGCCGGCCACTCCCTCACTGCTAGGCAACGGCCACGCCGAAGCGTCAGCAGGCTCCAGTGTCTCTCCCAACCCGTGACCACCCTCTGATCCAGGAAGGGTCTCTGCGCTTCTGCGCGCTGGGGTCCTGCACCCCTTGTCCAGGCGGACGCCCACCCTAGCGCCCCGGACCGCGCCGCCGGTGGGCACTGTGACCCCAGTGCAGCAGCAGTCGGGCCGGATGGCAGCCCTCCACCTTTCCCCTAGTCCTCTCTTCCTCTTCCTCCTCTAGCGTCTGCCAACCGCCTCCTTCTCTCCCTTGCACAATCCCGCGCTCCGCCCGAGCTCCTGGTAAGCAGGGTCCTGAGGACCCGAGCGCCTATCACCCCTGTACCTGGGAGACTCCTGCTGGCGCTGCTGCTCCTGCTCCGATTGGTTGTCAGAGCTGAGTCCAGTTTGGTGGATGCTTCACGTCCGCTTTGATTTAGAGCAAGGCTTCCGGCCGATGACTCACCGCAGCCCAAGGCTGCACCCGCCTATGCCATCTCCAACCGATCCGCATCCCCAGCCTGGCGCCCGGGAGGAGCCTGAGCCTCGCCCACCATGCTGCCCAGGGCGGGATTGGTTCATTTTCCTGGGCTAGTATACACAGAACTCCTGTTTAGTCCTGTTTAGTTTGGAAATGGGGACTTGGCTTTGTAAATTAACCAAAAGCAAAACCAGAGGCTAAAACTGGCTCCTAAAGCCATTTGTTTCCAAACTTTTCACACCCATCCAAACAATCTTTGAGCATCCCCGCCACTTATGTGAACTTATGTGTGTTCATATGTTAATACCAATACATGATGAACACTCTAAAACACATAAAGAGACATTACAAAGAATAAGAAAAAATTTTTGTTGGAAATATATATTTTTGTGCTTACAAAAACGATTTTAAAATTTAATGAGACCAGTGTAATTCAACATGTGTTTGATTTAACCTTAGTTAAAGGCTTTGAAATAGGGTTAATCTGAAGGCCCAGTTTTAAGCTCAGTTTATTTCTAAACTTGTATTGCTGGCTCAGAAGGAAAAGCTTCTCAGGAAATGAGTGGATTCAAATGCAATAAAGCTCTCTTTGGTTGTACTTACTCAATCTTGATACTTGTTTTTTTTCAATCCACATACCAATTATGGAAAGATTTCCAGTTTAAAATCTCACTAGTAAAAAACTATTTATCCTCTTGAAACTCAGTTCTTTCTGCAAGCCAATTTTGTAAGTGTTGTGTTTTTAATATTGTAACAGTTTGAGGCTCACCAAATGTTTTCTGTTTGGGAGATTTTTATGAAGTTTCGAAATTATCCTTCCAAGTTTAAGTGCAAATACATGAGAATTTTAGTATCGTTTTGAGTCATAAAGTCATCTGACGATGGGAAAATATACAAATGGAGTTTCTTGAAGTGATCATCCTATACAGTGGTGAACGGGGAGGCAGCTCTTTCAGAAACATAGCTGACTTCTCATTCACAAAGAAGAGGCTCCTTGACCTCCAGCAACCTCACCCAGGAGGCTGAGGTTCAGACTCCTTTGGACAGGTTCTAACACGGGAATGTGCCACGGCCAATGGCAAAGAAACTTGCCGGAGCTGGTTCACCGAGGAGCGGCTGCCCCAAGGGCGTGGGCCAGCTGGAACTGGCCTACGGAGGGGAAGCGCCAGCAGCAGAATCCCCACAGGGGAACTTCGTGTCTTAGTTTCATCTTTGGAACTAAGACATAAAGTCATTTTTTAAAAATTCTACAATACTGAACCACGATTTGACACAGAAGACACAGTGTCTCTCACTCGCTTATGCCCTGTTGGGGTCAGATCCACTCTTCCATTTAATTACATGAAGACCCAAAGAGCAGCCTACGGTGACACAATTGATCTCTAAAATAATATTCTCCTGAACTCTGAGGGCCCCCAGGAAACTTGCAGCCAGGGCAGCAGTGGGCAGGGGCAGCTTGTCCCGGGCTCATCCCCTGAACCTGCCTCTCAGGCCTATTTCCCCTGACTTCCCAGTGAGCTAACTGCAGCCCCACCTGGGCTCACTTCTTTCCTACAGAATATCTAGGGAGTCAAGCAGCCCTACCTAGGCCCTCTCCTATTGCTTCCCTAAGCCACAGGTGGCAAATGCAAGGCCTGCAGGCCAAATCCAGCCTTGCACCTTGTTTTATCTGGCCCAGCACCTTGTTTCTACCCAGCAAGAGCGCCAAGTTCTCAACTGTTCAGGAGTAGTTACATTCACACAGTCCTAAAATTACATTCAGCACTTGGAAGGCAACCTCGAGGCGGATATGGCCCCCAGTGAAAATGAGTTTGACGCCCCTGTTCTATGTTAAGACCTTCCTTTGTTTCATTGCTCCCAGCTCTAATAAACATACTCTCAAAATCACCTGGACTCCTATTGTGAAATCTGTCTTACATGAAGTCAAGAACCCACACACCACGGTCGACCTTGCTCCTGGTCCCGGCCCCTTCTGGTGACAGTAACATCTACCGTGACCATGATACACTGCTTCACACTGAGAAGACAACATTGGTACATCGTTGTTAAGTAAATTCCAGATTTCATTTGCCTTTCAATAGTTTTTCCATTAATGTCAAAATAAGTATTTTTTAGATAACAGGAAAGGGGTAGTTCGTTTTTCAGTGGTAAGTAATGAACTATCAAAATTATACTCCTGAAAAATCCTTGTTCATTAATATATTGCCTTCATAAAAATTTCCCTTCACTAAATAATATATGTGAAATGTAAGTGACAATACAATGACCAACAGCTCAAGAATTATAATAGGCATTCAATTGAATAATATAGTATTTCTGAAATGTAAATAAAAGTAACATTAAGGAAAAATGTTTACCCCCGGCTGGTACAGCTCAGTGGATTAAGCACAAGCATGTGAACCAAAGGGTCACTGGTTCAATTCCCAGTCAGGGCAGGTGCCCAGGTTTGTAGGCCAGGTCCCCAGTAGGGGGCGCATGAAAAGCAATCACACATTGATGTTTCTCTCCCTCTCCCTCTTTCTCCTTCCTTTCCTTTCTCTTTAAAAATAAATAAATAAAATCTTTTTTAAAAAAAGACAAAATGTTTTGTGATAAAAATAAAATTTGTCATACTCTCTAGGTATAATGATATGACATCACTAGAATGCATTATTTCAAGATTTATTTGCTAATATTCAAATGTGGAAAAGATCTGGACTACACACTAGTTATTATCAGAATTGTTTTCTCATCTTCTGATGTGAAAAGCACATCCCATCCCTGGGATCATGAGACAGATGTGGGCTCAGGGGGAGCAGAATCTCCCGTAAAAGAGGATGCACTTGGTTTTGTTGTGCCTGATGAAGAAGAGGAATGGGTGGTCGGCATTGAAATCAATGGACAGGGGTCTAGATCGAAACCCCACCTCACTCCCGGTCCCCGCTGAAGCCTCTGTCCCTTGCTCATTTATCTCCACAAAAGACTTGTGGAAAACTTCGGACAGAAACAGCTGTCTCCCTGCCGACATCCCTGAGAAGTCAGCCTTGCTCTGGTCAAAGGCGTCGCTCATGCCCATGCTGCTCAGGGCTGATTTGAGATCGTAGCTCTCCTCCAGCTTGAACTTGGGAAGGTGCAGCTTCACGTGGTACAGCTCCATCATGTCTTCGCTGGTCCACTCGCCCAGCTGCTCGAACGTGGCGGCCTTCTCCAGCTGCGGGTGTGGAACCAAGGAAGAGCCGGCAATTCCGAAGTGAGTCGGTATTTAGAGGAACAAGTATAAAGGACACAGGGACGATAGCTAAGGGCGATGGAAATGGGAGGGAGGTGGGGATCACAGGGGAGGGGTGGGCTAGAATGGGAGAAATAAACAGAAAACTGTACTTGAAAAATAACTAAATAATTTTTTAAATAAAAAACTAAAAAAAAAAGTGGAGGGACAAGCATTGCTTAAGTGAGTTCTACATAATGACACAGATGAGTTACGGTTGCTCCCGTTTCCCAGGGTAACAAAACACACACGTATAGAAATTCTTTGCATCACAACATCCCTCACGTGGTCGGACCTATAGAATCTTTGTTTTTCAGATGGACAGTTTCCAAGATACAAGAGTATTCCATCTTGATTTAAAATGGAAGTACTTCTACGATGATACACAAAATATCAACTATGCACTCGAATCAAAATAAATATAATTTACACGTCTTCATGAAGGTATACACTATAGGACACGTTGTATGTCAGGGCACAAAACCCATTAATTTTAATGAACATGGGAGACAGTTCTTTGAAAACAAAACCTGAGGCAAAATTAGATGTCTATAATCACAAAAATATGAATTTAGTAACCATAAACAATGCAGAAAGATAGATAGATGATAGATAGATAGATAGATAGATAGATAGATAGATAGATAGATAGATGATAGATAGAAAGAGAAAAAGACACCCAAATCTTAAGAGTTACGACATTTTTATACTGGTTTTGATGGTAATTTCTCTTTTTATTTTAAAAATTTTTAAGCAAATAGATATGTATGTATTTATACAGATATGCGTGTGAGGGGAAACCCAGTGTTTGAGTTTTTGAATAATCTGTTTTAAAGCACGTGCGTTGCTGCCCGGAGAGTTTTCTAGACCAAAGTACTGCCATCAATGACACACTTGTAAACGATGGGCATTTACAATGTGACACCTTCTTCCGCTCAGGAATCTGCTCACTTGGGAAGGAAGGTCTATCTTGTCGGGTGGGGCTCTGCTGGTTTGGTGCCCACACTCGGTCCTATTTTCATTATCCTTCCAGTTTCATCAATTTTATGACACCATTGGAAACCTTTTTCCACACACTAGAAAGGCCGCGGAAACGTGTAAGTATAAAAAGTCCGGCGCACATGAGCCATCAGGCACCGTGCAGAGAAAGACAGGCCACCTGCCGCAGGGAGCCCAAAGTCCCATCAGACATGCAGAGTGTCGGGAATGCCGTCTGACCAAAGTTACGTCCGGCTTCAAAGAAATTTGGCAGACCGGCAACTTACATAGTGCTTATATCGCCTATTTCTCCTGAAAATGGTTCCCTTGATTTTTAAAAAGTTTTTGAAGGTTTTGGAAGTAAACATAATGTTTTAAAAGGTATATCTAATGCTACATCAATGCAAGTGATTACAAAATTCATCTCCCATTAGGTAGGTCCTCCCAGAGGGAGAGGAAAGACCCAGACCCAGTGAAAGACTGTTATGATGAGCCCGCTCAGCTTTGTGACTGACAAAGGCTATCTGTATCCATTGTTCGTATGGCTGTTTGTGTGGCCACCCCGTGCTACAAGTGTCTAGCAGGGACGCAACCTTTCTAAGGAATAGTAAGTAACGTCACCCTCACGGAGTTCTGCAAAGCTGAAATGACACTGTGAAGGTAGAATGCCTAGGGCAGAGAGGACGCTGGTTGCCTTCCTCCACAGGAATTAGAGAATGGGGCAGCCCTGCTACACAGAGACACGGAGGTAAGCACCGGGACCATC